TACATGGTCGAAAGTACGTGAAGCATGACACATAAGTTTCAAATTCAACCCTATGCCGCATGCGATAGGAACTGTCTATAGTGACAAGCTTGATGTGCTCTAGATTCGTAGATCGCACCCCTCATGGAAGAATGGCATAAGTGGAGTTACGTCAAAAATGTTTATTGCTTGTGACTCTATCGACGATATTAGTCGATAGAGTTACAAGAATTGGAGATGTGGGTTATATTTTTCTAAACATTTTTGACGTAACTTATGCCATTCTTCCATGTTTCCATTGTAGAGTGTTAGAAATGTTTTCTTGGCTAATATGGTGCAAAATCTGTTCAATGATTTTACATTTTTTTGTTATAAAATTGTAAAAGTGCAGTTTTTTAAATGCTTCTATGGAGTCTCTGAAATTTGTTTATCGATATCTAAACTAAATCTAGTAATCAAAGTCAATGCTTGGTTCTCTTATGGCGAAATGAGTCTGTAGCTTTTTTTATTAAAAAATGAGTGCCCATCTCACCTGATGGAGTGACGATGAGGTCGGCGATGTAGCATGCACACCTAAATAATGCGTATACACTCTCGTCCTGAAAACTTATGCAAATTGCGACGAAAACAAATTGCAAGCAAAATTTCATGGGTTGAATATAATATGCCTCGTGAAACTGAGCAGCTTTCTCTACAAATAATCTGATCATCGAATTGCGTTTTGTAATAGAGAGAGTTATATACATACATGCCATTACGACTATCTCTCACTTTACTAGGCACAAACTGTGGAAGAATACTAATATTTTTTGTCGTTTCAGATTCTATGAAGAAGCTGCGCGAGTAGCGTTCGAACAAAAAGACGAGGGGGCACTTTTCTACGTCCAAAGCAGATGCCCTTTACGCGATAGCACCACGCACGAAAAAATCGCCGCACTTGTAGAACAACTACATAGAAAGTAACCTCTAAGATCAAAGATTTTGAATTATTCGAAATAATTCGTTTATATATTCATTTTCTTCTTACAGAGAAAATTTTTAGAATGTTCTTTTCTGATGACAATGGGAAGTGGATTGTTTTAGCACTCAAATCTCTTATTTGTACGTATCGTGACTGTGTTACACTTAAGAACTGATGTGTTAAAATATGTATAATTATATTACTACATAAGGAAACCCTATAGTACTATTTACACGCCAAATAAATGAAATTTAACATACAGTTACAATTGTTTTTATTATCGTCATGGAATACAATCATTTTGACACATGAAACAACGACGCGTTTAGCCCAAATTAATACGAATATTAACACCAATTAACATGTCTACTATTAACATATTATTATGAGCAATTGCAATTCTTCAACTCAAGAAATTCTTTAGAAAAATGTTCAAGTTTTGATGACGTTTTAATAGCGTTATCGACAATTTATACACGAATCATCACATGAATGTTATTGTATATTTAAGTTCTGTTTATATTTGAGCTCTTTTAAGATTATCATTTGAGTTAAAGAATTAGCGTACAAATAATCGAATTGTGTTTATTTACAAAGGGATACACGTATACATTTGCGTCGACAACGCGGGGGGACACTAAGCACACAATCATTATTTTCTTAAATAGCTAAACATTTTGAACTTTGCCCAAAACTAAGGCTCCTTGAGTCACAAACTAGTTCTACCAGGAAGTAGTAAGATAAATTTTATCCATAGAACCAATATAGTTTTAAATAAATAAATTACGATAAAATTAATATTGAGAAGAATGCAGTCTTTCAAATAGCAAACCACTTCTTTTAATGAGTATAACTACAATGAAATGAAGGTACAGTAATGTAAACATTTCCGTTACAGATACTACAATATTTACGAATACATGAGAACATGAACACGTACAGTCAAGAGCACATCAAGCTTGAAACTTTGTACTTTGGACCGTTATTATCGTAAGCGGCATAGAGTTGGATTTAAGTCTTAAGTGTAAAGCTTGACGTGCTCTTGACCCTGTACATTTACTAAACTACTTATTATAAAAATGAATGAAAAATAAATCTCCTCTGTCTTTTTCGTTACACTCACAACCGTTAACGGATCAACTCAAGAAATAATAGCTATATTTCTCTGGGCATCTTGTGTAATTAACTGCACGGTAGTGCCCAGGCCAAGTTTTTTAGTAATGTGTAGCCCACGTGCTGTGGACAATTATTATCGACGTTGTTTGTGTTAAAACGTTTTGACATGATACAAAATGTAAAACGATGTAAGAAAACGGCTGTCATTTCGCTTTCCACTTTAACTCTTTATACTGTAATACACCAATTATCCGAAACACATTGTTAATGCACATTTTATTCAAGTTCCCGTTATTACAAAATTCTTCCAAACATCTTACCGTCTACTCATTATTGAAAATTGGTCATTTTCTGATAATTGACGATAAGCACAGATCTGCATTTTTATCTCAAAATTTTAATCAGTCAAGAGTACATCATTTTGACACTATGGACCATTGTTATGGCAAGCGACATAGTGTCGAGTTTAAACCTTAAGTATCAAATCTTGACGTAATCATTACTCCAATAAATTTAGTACGTTTATGTATAACTTCGAGTTAAAATAATTTGACATTGGCAATTCAACTTGACCTGCCAATAACATTTTTCATATTTTCATTCTTGTTATTACCATCAGTAAGTACTTATTTTTATCAGTGTTGTTTAAGACAATATTTTTACATCTTTCATGAGTTGTAAGTTTTCAATATGTTACTAGTACATATTTTTTCATTCCTTGCTAATATCAAACAAATCATTTTTTTAATGTAAAGAATTAGAATTATGAGGAACGGTGAAAATTAATAACACATTTTATAGTGAAAATTATTTAAACAATCAAACCACGCAGCATGCTTTAAATTATTTTTGACGTGGGAAACAGTTTGAAAGTTGCACTCTATTCTAGTTGAGAACAAGCAGCAAAAGTAAGCAATGTACTTTGAATTCAAACATATAAATCCAAGAAAATTTTGAGAAATTGAACTCAATCTTGTCTTTGTCGTGTAACGAAAATATAAACTAAAATGAAAATAATTTCGAAATATCTGTAATAAAATATTGAAGTTGCACGTTTATTCACTGTACAACCGAATGTTCCCAACTCCAAACGAGTGTCAAAATGACAATAAATAAATAAGAAAATGTCAACAAAGTTTTTACTAAACTCGCAATAAATTAAATAACATTTATTAGATTTCCAACTAACAAAATTCTCAATAATCCGGCAAAATACTGAAGTAGAAAATTTTAAAAGCAAAACAGGTACTTTATAACTTTCGTAATTTACATTCATAACGTTACGCGTTATTCCATGGATCCGAGCTAGAACTTTTTCCTATCTCTGCCTTGGCACAATCCATCTCTTCACTATAGGTCAGCGTGTTATACAGAACATCTCCACACTTATGTGGAATCGGCTGCAACCGGTTAGTTAAAGCTTCATATCTATTGAATAACAGCAAGATAAGTTGCAATTTGACACAGACGGAACGAAGAACGTCTTTCTCGCTCTTATTGCTCGGAAATAAAGAGTTTTCCGGCCGTCTCAAGCTGATTGCGTGCCGATAAGTGTGACAGGGCGATCACCCCCTGTTTTAGCTCTATATTTTTATCATAGGCAAGTTAGCTAGAGATTTGTTGTCAATATTCTACCGAATTCTACACTAATTATCAGTCTTAAATGAAATAATGGCTATCAATGATCAATATGAATACTAGATAAAATTAAAATAATTATAATGAGCAGATTCTTTTAAAGAAATCATATTTACGAAACTAAACTTTAAAGTTATAATAACAAATGTCTAAATATTTGATATCTATAATAGTAACATGAAACAATAATTTTCAACACAGACCTTTAAAAAAAAAACAAGGACGGACATTGTGTTTGTAACATAAAGCGATGTGAAGTTATTAGTTTTGTATTATAAAAAAACATATTTAAATAGTTATTTTAAAGAGTGTCATTTTAGAGAATATACGTTCTCCGCTAAAATACGATTCTTAATTCGAACAACCAAAATGTGTACAATTAGTACCCCTATAGCGTTGATGCCTGAAAACCAATTTTCGTTCATCTATAGTAGTCATGAAAAGAGACTGTCTTCTAAGGCCTATTAAAGGCTTCTTCTAAGGTTTAATTGTACATTAATAGCATTTTTTTTATTGACTATATTCTAACTATTCGCCTTTATCTCTTTTTGGCTTGCTAAGCCCTTCATAATGTTTCATGTTGGTGAAAATTAGTAAATGGCATTGGATTACTCATATTTAAGTATACGATAATTGAATTATTTGTCCGTGAATTTTCCTAAAATGTATAAATAAATAAATAAAAAAAATAAATAAACTCTTATTCATTAATTTTTGACGCCTCAAGACTCCACTAGTCCTTTAACCTATTAACTCATTTATTATTCACTCATTGCATATTAGCCTAAGAGCTTTAGCTGTTTTTTTTAATATCATGCACGAGTAAGGCGCGAGTCTTTTTAAAAACAACTTGAGTCTTCCAGTCTGTTAGTATAGCGACTGAGTCTTGTGAATTAAAACTCGAACCTCCAGTCTTAATTTTAGACTGAGTAAAAGTAAAATTGAGTAGAGTTTAAAGGCCTTAAAAGTCTCTTTCATCACTAGTATATAGGTATCTTGCAAACAATGTGCTTGAAATCGATCGAATTAAAATTCGTAGTTTAAAGGCACAGCCACAATTTTAGCTTGGCTATGGACTAGTTTCCAGTTACCACCAGTAGCAGACTACAATAATATAAATCGTAGCTTTAAAAGGTACACTCACTTTCCTCATGTCGACCCACTGAAGGCGCCAAGAATTTTAAATATGTAAGTGATTCACAGTTCAACCTCAATTTTTTCTAATAACTTTATTAGTCTCTATTGCTCAACACACAGAAGAGTAAACGTACCTCTTTACTTTAAATACCTATCCGTCAGGCGCCATCTTGCTTTGCAGATAAATACCACCTAGCTAACAGCCTCGAAACTTGAATCACAAAGTTCCCATTACAAATATTTCTTTTAGATTTTAAAAGCCGACGCATAACAACAAATTTGATATTATTATCTCTGGTTCTCACTATAACGTAGTTCTTTAAATCCATATATCACACTTTTGCCCATTAAGCACCCTATCCCACTACAATCTATGTTGTTAGAAATATTTTCATCACTAGTATCTATACCTACTCAGCGATTGCGACTCCCTTGTGTTTATAGCACCTCAGCTTCTAAAGTTCTCTCCTACATTATATTTCAATTTATACTCAAGACGTGTGCGAAACGAGAAATTATTCCTAACATAAGCTCTTAGATATCTTGATATTATCATGGACTAATAACTCAAAAGAATTGCTAATCTCTATACTACAGATCGTAACTCAAAATCTCGTTTTAAATCCAGATGGCGCTGATCACTAGCCCTGAAGTAGTTTATATTTATTTAAATGGCCGTGGTTATCAAGTAATTCCTCTAATAATATGCGATACAATATAATGGTCAATTCTTTACCTTGTAATATTATTCAAATATTGACCATGAGCTAAAATTATTTTCAGAACTTTAACAAACATGCGTATCAATAGATGGCATTATGTTACAAAGTAATTTATAAATAAACGCTCGAGAAATGCTTAGCCAGTCCGAAACAAAATAAAAGTATAAATCATATCAATAAAAATCTATAAAATAAGCGCCATATTTTTTGTTGAGATTTGTTTGTATCACTAGAAATTAAAACAGCTTTGATAAATTGCCGCTTGGCAATGTAAAACAAAAAAGCTACAAAAATAGTTATTTGGTTTACGTTTGTGACATTTGGTGTATCAATATTTACTAAATACCCGACTACGCTGTCTTGAATTATTGGTCCATGATGTTATTAAGAGTCAGATAAATTATTTTTATCAGACATTCGCAGTATTATAAAAATGATTGGATAAGTACCAAGTTTTGTGACGGGATTAACGAACACTTACACATTAGATGACCAGCAACCATACTACCTAATTGTATACCCAATGACATAAAATCGAAAGGGTACGGTTATGATACCCGATTACGATATTGTATCACAAACATCAATAAAATCAAATTAATCAAGTCAGCCTTAAACGCTACGCTTAAAAGCATTTTTTTTACTTCTTTTTTAACATTATTATCACATTTACGAGTATATTTTTTTAGCCTAGCTTCAATGATATTTAGATGAAATGCCTTTTTTTGTTAATTTTATCTTATTTGTAAAAATCCTTATTTTCAAAATGAACAATTTTTAGTCTGTGAAGCAAACATAATTAAAAACAAATTAAGTACAGAATTAATAGTAATGGCACGAGCATAAATTTATAATTACTGTCATAATATTAATATTTGGCGAATATTTATTAGCTGCAAAATGTAACTAAATAATGGAACATAAAGTTGTGCCTTAAGTATAATGACTGTTTTACTCGTGATGTTTTACGGAAAGGAAGCCAATTAAAACATTTAACATTAGCCTTTACCCACCTGGCAGGCGTACATATCGACAAATATGCCACATAAATTGACATCAATGAACCTGACCAAAATGAATAAAACAACACCTATCTTTTCTTTTGTTGTCAGGTCTCTTGTGTAGGAAGACTCCTACTAATAAACTTCTGAAAAAACTAATTGATTAAAATTGAAACAAACAAATCAACATTGCCTACATATCTTGAAATAATCAACTTTAAATAAATGAAATAAATAAGTGCGAGCTGCATTACCATTTTAGGCAGCCATCGACTAATCCACATAAATTAATGCAAAACCCATTGCATCCGTCTTAGTCAATAATTGATGACATCTAAATCGTCGCGTGATGCCAATTAAAAATATCGCAATAATAGCGACACAAACGTAACTGGTGCTTTAAGAACATTCGCTTTTTTCACGTTTTTTGCTTAGGAACTTCCCTTACTTACAATTAATAAATTCGATAGGCTTACCCTCCGCAAACAAAGTACATCACTTCGAGATATCGTTGGCGTACGAAGATGTTAGATGTGGCAATGGCTGAGCGTTCTGGACAGTCACACGTGGGGACCGCTCGAACTTCAACTTGTCTACGGGGCTAGAGCCCGGAGTGGAGGTAGGAGTGAAGAGGCTGGAGTGCCGCACCAGTTGTCCGTGGCCGGATACTATGTTTAGATTGGACATGCTGTGCTTGGGAATAGTGAAGGTGGGAAGTTCCTTGTATTTGACGGAGTCGTATATACGGACTAGCTTGTTACCATCGGTGGACTCGAGAATGTTAAGCGAACGCGCGGGGGAAGCGGTGACGACAAGACCAGGCGGCTTCGGCGACGGCGTGTGTGACGCGGGAGGTGCGGGGGGCGCGGCCGGCGCCGGAGGGCAGCTGGTGGTAAAGTGCTGCGAGATGGAGTGGCTCTTAAGCCCTTGGGCCGTTTTGTAGCTTTTGCCGCATTGGCATTTGTAAGCCTTTTTTACCCTGAAAAGACAATAAAACCATCACCGTACGTATTTCGCAGCGTAACAGCACGTCACGATATTTTCTACCGCGATAATCTAACGTGAAAATCAAATGTACAGTTAGGATTGTACGAGAAAGTTTTTATTTTGTTTAGATACAGTGCACGTAATAATTACGACAGCCCATAATAATTAAAAGCATCTTTTTACACGACATACTTGGCTGTTAAATAGTGATGGTAAAAAAATATTGCGACGTGGTGTTGATGTTGCCGTGAAAAATTAAATAAAATCTTTCAGATAATCAAAATACCCAATTGTTGGCGACTAATCGTAACTTCTAGACAAATCTAAAATATTAACATCAAGAAACTAACAAACAAGTCTGAACACTAACATATACCAAATCTAGTTGTATTTTAGTAGTAGATTATTACATTACAGAAGCTGCAAAAATCTAACTACGCAGCTATACTGCTACCTACTAATGAACACTAAATACTAATCTGAAAAATAAGTACCCATTTCTTCCAGAAATATTCTTGGGCAGTCAGCCGTTTCTTAGGCCCAGGGACGAATTTTTTATTACATTGGTCAGGAGTTGGCAACATTGAGTATCTTCTATAAGAAAGTTAATCATATAAAAAGATAGATTGGCAGCTACTTCCGCGAAGGTAACAGTTGGTGTACACTCCGCACACCAGACTGGTGCACCAAGCAAATAGGTACAGATGAAGACTGAAAATCAGCAGTGCTGTCATCAGCTCTTTCTCATGTCATGTCTCATCAGACTCATGTCTTTCTCTTTTTTGTTCTCATCACTTGACTGTATTTTGTACTGGTCTGGTTAATATTGTAATTTATGGCATTTTGTGACGAAATAAATGTTTTTTATTTTATTTAAAGAACATCCATCCAAATGGAACGTATATATAATTAATCAACACATTATATTAATTAATCACCAGTGGTGAGGCGTGAAAATTGTCGTTAGTAAACCCGGAGCCAAACAAAAAGCACCTACTTTTACAAAAACTACTTTTCCCAGTTGGTATGTAGCAAAGCCATCCCATAAGTGACAACAGTACTCCATACACGACCGGACTTGCGCTTGCTACAGCTGAAGTAACTGTCCCGAAGTGTCCCCAACACTCTGCGCGCTGTTTAGTAGTCCTATGATAATAAGTGGAAAATTTTGAGGCAAGCCAGTGGAGTCGAGTTATATGGACGCCTCGCCACTGTTAATCACACACTTAAATTATTATCGTCTATATTACACACATTTAGTAAAATATTTCGTTTATTGAATGCCATATAAATACGTCACGGTGAAAAGACCGATTTTTTGCCTATTTAATTTATTAATTACTGATTATATAAATAATATTACACATTCATATTTAGTTGGCGACGGACGTTTCTAAATAAAATACTAAATTAAAATCTGCTTAAAATATACAATTGCTTGTGCTCACCTGCCATCCTTCTTATGGCCGTTCTTGGAGTGGTACTTGATGCCATTGACGTTCTTGTAGCGTTTTTTGCAGCCCGGCACTGGGCAGGCGAAAGGTTTCTCTTGTGCTGCATGCCCCACGGCGCCAGACGATGCCGCTGTGTTCATTCTGTCAATCAATAGCAGAATGCATTCTTGAGATGAGAAAAGCTAAAAAGATGCGAAACTTGGCCACAGTCTTCACATGCGTCTCATGATATCCTATTATTGAATATAATTTTTATTATCACAACCAGAAATCGGAATAGCACCTGCACTTCGGGAAATTATACACATAGAGTGGGTAATATCTACATCTGACATATGTTTTGATTTTAGCTATCAATTTTTAATAATATCGGCATTTCAGAGGGAGGTATTCTACACTTTTTATTGTTGGTAAATGGTTACTATTGTATTCTGATCTATTGGTACTCATATTGTATTCCTTTCTCATAATGCATTTGGTTGGAAAATTATATGGATTTTCATCATAGGTTTCAATAGGAGATAGGTATAATAGATATAAAATTAATAAAGAAAACAGAGAACAAGTCCAGAAGATGGAAATAAAGTCAGAAAAAATTATACAGTATGGGAAGTTTCTGTTACTTTTTTTAAATGTGTTTGAGCAAGTGAAAATACATACTTAACACCATATCGCATTATGTACTCTGAGCTGTACTCCTCCACAGTTGTCCATGAGTCGTTGCTATCCTCAGAGGGGCTCATCAATTCATCGTCCTCCATCTCACTACCTGCAAAGTTACAAACCCACTACAAACAAGAACAGACAGAGGAGACCGACAAGAGGCAAGCTTATGTGGTGTTCCCACCCTTAAACACATCCTTTTAATATCACAATATAAAATTAAACGTACCTAGCTATTTGACTTCCCACCTAACATGAACATGTCTGGCTTGATGTGATGCAAGCCAATACCCTATTATTATATAAAAAGTCAAAAATGCATTCAGGTACTTTTTTGTTTTGTGAATAGCATTTACGCCCCTACTGTACCCCTAATAAGTCTAAACATAACTATGCCACTGCGATGGAAATTAACCATTCCGATCCATCCGAAAGGTGATGAATCACATAATAAATTCTTCGTCATTGTAGCTAGCGAACTGGGACATATTTTTAGAGGGCCATGATCATCAGTTTTCAACTGCAATTAAAAGTTTAAACAGTTTACAGGGCGTTACAGAAAGTAAGGGTAATATCCCTATCTCTGTTGTGTCTGAGTTTATGTATAAGGTTATAATTCAAGTTTAAAGAAATGTAGTGATATTCCATAATATTTGCATTATCGAATGTTTTTGTCATGTCGTGTCAGAACACCGTAACCGTGGTAATGAATGAAAAGTTTATCTTAATAATTTATATTATATGGGATATTCGTAATGAGTAATGAAATGAGTCATTATGATCAGCGATGCATTATAATCGCAATGAGGACATTTAAACTGGGATTACCAGTAGGAGTGCTACTGCGAACTGAAGGAGTCTTGGGCACGGAAAGCAGACGACGACGTACGTCTGGTACAGGAGGCATATTTTGAAATTCCCGCCGAGACGCCTCCGTGAAAAACTTTAGCACGTAACTTAAAGGGATACATGCTGGCTGTGATGCTTCTTTTTGTTCTATTACTGCTGGATCATAATCTGAAATAAAAAGAGCGAATTAAAGCCATATAAAGTATCGCGACATTGCACTTCCGATAATATGTTTGTTTACATATAATCTTTTTCGCTGGTTCTAAATCGTCATACATAAAGCTTACGTTACGAACATCGCAATCTACAAAAATAAATTACAGTTTATTTTTATGCTAACCATGTTATTACAAAAAATCCCGCAATATTTCCATTTCCATCTAAAAATAATTGCCAATGGTGACAACATTGACGCATTGATAAGACGTAATGGGGTAGATCATGAGTAATATTTCACATGTAAATTAGCCATTGCAACATGAAACTGAAATGAATCTTTAATGCTTACCGATATGCACGTCTTCAATATGTTCAATTAAATCCGCTAGCCTTGGAAATGTGATCCCACAGCCATTAAATTTACATATGTTTATCATGAAGACGGCCATTGCTAGCGGAGGGTAACGCACTAGTCAAGTACATATCTATGACAATCAAAGAAATTGTTCAATTTTATTTCAACAAAACCGCCTCAAAGGCTAAGAAGTATTAGCAAACAATAATAACAAACTATAAAAAACTTTAAAAAATACTTTTCAAATTAATTGTACCATAATATCTGAAATTGAAAATAATAGTACTGTAGGTTGCTGTCATTTGCTCATATTGATTTTTAAGTTGGCTATTCCGATTGTACTTGTCTCTGATAGACCAATAGGAAAGCAGAATTTATAGTCTGTTTCATTTTTACACTCAGAAATTGAACATTCCAAAGGCCGGTCTCCTCCTTCTCGGTGTTCTTTGGTAAGTGCGGAAAAATAGTGAATAGAATAAAATCGTGAAAAAGTGAGAAGAATACAATCCATCGCCTTGTTAAAAGTGAAAATATTCGTTCGCCAGAAAATATAGTGGGTGACAGTGTCAGTATTTTTTTGTGAGAACGTAAGTTGTCAGTAGAACGTCTATCAAAAGTATAAGTGCCGAATCGGCCATTTTCCGTCGTCTTTTTTTCGTCTAGCGGTAATACACGTTTAGTGTTCACAAAATGTACATGTTCGGTGAAAATGTGTTAGAAAGATTTTGACACAAGATTGTTATAGAGGCGGTCTCTGTCTTCGTTACGTAGTCGCGTAAATTACGTAACGTTCTGCGGTCGCTGGTCAAACGTCAAGTTAATCCTCAGTAGCACTCGTAGTAGCCAGCCTGAACAGCAGCACTAACAGATATTTATTCAGTGATCGGTTTCTTGCAGTTGTCACGAGCCGCACCTTCATTAAATACAAAGATGCTGTCCGCTGCCCGACTGATTGCCCCTGCAGCCAGGTCTGCTGTAAGTACCTTGATTTTCCTTGCTTTACCTTTGATTATTCCTATAATTTTCCTATTTAAATTGTTATCAGTTGTCCTTCAGGTCATATAATCATAATGACAATTTTACCCAAGTGACCTTGTGTTAAATTTTATTACTAGGTACTGTAGGTTATTCACCGGTTTTTGATTGAATCTAACAGACTATAAACTTTATTTTTATTGACAAAGCTAGATTTTGTCACGATTTTGCACTGATTGTGTAATTACATAACTGGATCATGTTGTCCTGTTTTAGCACTAAAATGTTTGTATTGTAGTCTAATAAGAAACCTTTACTACTCTGTACTTCCATATAACCTGAACCAAAGGGCAAATTAGTGCAAGAAGTTACATAAGTCTGCTAATAGTACTTCCAATTGTAACCAACCTACAGCCTTTAGCCCGCCTTTAGTATAGGTTACTTTCTAAGCTATCGAAATCATCCTCAAAGGCACTGCATAAAGATTGATTTTAAGTTACCATCAAGTCCAACAGCAGAAGTCCATTTTCTCACCATTGTCTCACCTAAAGAGTGTAACTGTAAAAGACAATAGTTGTAAACCGTGATGAGTATGAATTTATGATATTACCAAACTTTGAATTATAAATGCACCAGCCCTGATAACATGTATAAATTATTCCAGGTTTTCAACAACACGGCTCTCATACGACCACTAGCGGCTGTTCCCACACAAAAACAGATTGTACCCATTGCACCAGCTCAACTGTCCGCAGTGAGGTCATTCCAGACCACCACTGTGTCAAAAGACATTGACTCTGCTGCTAAATTTATTGGTGCTGGTGCTGCTACAGTAGGAGTTGCAGGTTCCGGTATGTAACTGTCTCTTGTTCGTAATTTTTTAGCTTTGTGTTTAATGTTGTCTTGGAACGTCTTTTGTTTGTTACTGTTTTATGCTATTTTATTCACAAATTATCATAGTTTTTAAATTTGAACCTCTAACTTGAAACAAAACTCTTAACCTGTAATTAACAGGCATTGTACTTATTCACGTTAATGCAATGATTGCATAACTAAGTCTTGGTGATATAATTTCCTCTTTATTTTTTTCAACAGAAATTAACAGCTTAAAGGTTCAAAATTAATATCCTTTTGTTCTTACCATCACTTAATTTAACCCTTTTGATTTGCTAATCTTTCATCAGCTTATATTCAAACTAATCTGTCTACAGGTATTGGTATTGGAGTGGTGTTTGGATGCTTAATAATTGGCTATGCACGTAATCCCTCCCTAAAACAACAAATATTCTCTTATGCGATATTGGGATTTGCACTCTCTGAAGCTATGGGCTTGTTTTGTTTAATGATTGCGTTCTTGATGCTGTTCGCCCTTTAGATCTATTTTTTAAGACGAACTTTTATGTACAGTGTATAAATGCAACTGAAAAAGGCTGACTTTTTTAGAAAAGCATGCTATTGTGTGCAATTTTTTTTTTTATATCTTGGTCCCATTTTTATGTTTTTCAAGGATACTTTTGAAATAAAAAGGTGAGGTGGCTTCTTTTTACATTTAGTTAGTTTGTTGTGTAGTTGTTCTATGGTTAATAATGTATAATTGTCCCTTTTATATGACTAAAGTTTGAAATATCATGTTACACACAATTCATTGTCTCTGATTGATTGCAACTTAAAAAACAATTTAAACTTTTAGGAAAGTGTATGAAAATTAATAGCACTTAATTGTAAATCAAAGAAGACATCATTTGGATGACAAAACTAATTGGTCATTTACCCTTTCAGGAGCTGGAATTGGAACGGTGTTTGGGTCACTCATCATCGGTTATGCCAGGAACCCCTCCCTCAAGCAGCAGTTGTTCTCATACGCCATCTTGGGTTTCGCCCTGTCTGAGGCCATGGGTCTTTTCTGTCTTATGATGGCCTTCTTGTTGTTGTTTGCTTTCTAAACTACTTACTTATAAGAACACTACTGCCATCCCACACATTGAGGTTTCAGTGAATACTATTGGGAGTGGACGGCCATGGAATCGAATGATTGAAAATTTGGAAACCTCACCTTCATAGTGATGCAAGGACTGATGTGTAAATGTGTTAACTCACAGTGTGCGTCATCAGGAATGCTATTATTTAATTATGTAGTATAAAAAAACATCTGAAAATAAAATGTTGTACGTAAACATTATTTGAATGCTACAGTTATTTCTGTTCCTGACTTAGACTTATCTAAACCATGTTATGCATTAATATTTCAGATCAATCAGCAATGGTTAAAAATCGGAGATGATATTTTATTAAAGCCAGTTATTAACATGTATTTGCGTGTGGATATTATCTTCGATTTTTATAGAGTGCGCGTTATCCTGTTCGAGAATGTCGGCATCTGTATTGTACATTTTTAGGGCGATTAAATAATACAAACCAAATAACTTTATCATTTAATTATTATTTTATTATCCTTTTTGCCCAGTCATCCATAATAACGGCTTTTATTTCCTTGAATAGCACAAAAATGTCAAAGCGGAATCCATATGCCTGATATTGTTAATCTTTCGGCCTTTTGGTTCCATTAGTGGATCAAGTAAAATTTTGATAATACTCATGTCTCCAACACATAACATGGATGGAACTATTAGAACTATTTTGTGAATACTAAACATCTATACACGTGTGTGATCCTCTGTGGCCGGACCGGCAGAGGACGGAAAAACTCCCAATAAGTACTCTGAAACAATAGGTATCTATATTTTCCTAAGCATCGCACACTTGAATGAATTGTTCCAGATTAAGTGTCCGCCATAGACGCCAAATTTGTGTCTGCTATTACGTTCGTCTTCCTTGCCTTAAACTGCCTTAAAGAAATCAAAGTTATTATTTGGTTCGTCCACTGATTATTTGAATATTCACTCCTACCTCTCGTTATGGTACTTATCTTTCGGGTTCCAAATGCAGGGTTCTGTTAGGTAACAAGTACTCCAGAAATATTAAAACATCCTCATTCGACCAATCATTCGTTTTTAAAAATAAAACAGCAGTACAAAGTAGAGCGCGTTTTTCGACAGATCTAAACCAGGGTTCTTGCGATAATCGGTATTCGTAAAAATTACAGTATCCGCATTCCGTCAGGACGGCTGGTCGCATCTGGCACTAAGTGTAATTGCTACCTTTTCTACACAATTGCTACCTTTGATATATTCTGAGAAATTAAAAAAAATAATTGACCAGCCATTTTAACGTCAGGGTGGCTGGTCGCCACTTCGTTCAGCATGAAGGGAGCAGATTTTCCAGAAGTATGTATTACCAATAATTGCTACCTATTTGCTACTTTCACGAATTAAAGTTATACACGTCCTATCTACATTAGCAAAAAAATGCAAGCGTTTGAAATCGATTTAGGAAGTAGTGCCAACGCCTGCTCTTTATATTATGGCAATAAAGCACTAAAAACTTTTACTTTTTTAATTTAATCAGGAACTTCTGCGTAAAATTTTCAATCGGTTTTTTTTTTAACTAATGTAGATAAGAAGCTTAGACCTTTAATTCGTGAAAGTAGTAAATAATAGCAAATAGGTAGCAATTATTGGTAATATAGTATACTCCTGGCAAATCTGCTCCCTTTGTAGAGAATTTGCACCAAGGTCTAGTAGGCCCGGGCCTAGGGCAGCCAATCGTGAAATAAATTCACTGTTAACAAGAAATAACTCAAAAGGACCTAAATATTCTAAAGGCTCACGCTCATTATGGCGGGCCGCACTGCACCGCATCGTATAATCACTTAATAAATAATTCACTTTGTAGATTTTATGTGTAAAATATAGATATGTAATGTATAATCACTATACGTCTGTGTCTGATCGCGATAAAGTCAAAAACTACTGAACGGATGACAGTACTGACTACATGGCCTGGAGCCTAGGGCGGCCAAAACTACAAATTCGCCACTGGGCTCCCTTCATGCTTAACAAAGTGGCCACCAGTCATCCTGATATCAGAATGGCTGGTCAATTATTTTATTAAATCTCCCGGAATCGGAATATATAGAAATCTTTAAAAAAGCTTTTTCATGTAGATTAAAAAAGGGTCTGTCCTTTTTTTTAAATAATGAAATAAGCATCTGTTGGTCAAGAAATCCGCATCTGCTGATGTGTACAGAACCTGCATCAGCAACAACCCTGGTACAAACGTATAGATAGATGTATGGCAAGTGCTTACTGCAGTTGCCTTTGATTTGTGCACAAAAATGATATTAGACCGGATCGACGACGGCAAACACATGCAAGCTTGTGCAAACCAATACTTGTACAACCTTACCACTGTTTGGCAAACATGTGGAGTCGTCTTTATATTACTTCCTATCGGATATGGTACCACACACCTACTACCGATATTTGAATACTATTAAAAGGGAAAAAAGGGGAATTTATCGATATCCCCGACCATTTACATAATATAAACTGCTATATATCCAGCGCCATCTAGATAGAAACGCATTTTGACCTTTTTCAGAGTTACGATCTGTAGTATGGAGATTAGCAGTCCTCTTGAATTATTGGTCCATGGTCGATATGCTGCAGAAAAAAAATTGCGGACAGTAAAACTCATTGTGAAAGAGTTCGTTTAGGGAAGTCCAGCCACCATACCTATTTCTACCACCAAGCAGTAATGTGAGCATTGCAGCGTTTCGGTTTTGAATGGTAAATCTGCCTTTGAAATTACAGGCACATGAGACTTGTCAACTTACGTCACAGGGTAACTAACGCAGAATTTTCAAAAAAATCTAATTTAAAATCGCTTTGACATTGAAATCGTCATATTAATTAAACTCTACTGCTCATTCTCAAGGCCCTGAGAGGAATGCGCAAGAAACTCTAATCTGTGTCTAGTCTGGTTGCTCCTTTAAATATACATTTAGGTACAATTTATTTCAAACATCGTAGATTGAGATTACTTGCAAAAGCTAAATGGGTCACTACCACGGATAACATAAACATAAAGTTTTTGTTTCACTAGAGTTATGTGCCAAATCACGAATCTATCGAATCCAGAATTTGTCCTCTACCGAACAAGGGATTTTAAACCTTGTAAATGGCAAATTTTGAATATCAACCGCAGTCTTATTACAGAAGTGAAAGGCGCACGACATGTTCACCCCGTCACTTGATATCATAAAAAAAACTGAGATACTCGCTATCGCCCGATGTTCGAAAGACTACTCGAATTTAACGTTCACTCAATAAATCCGAGATCCAATTGGAGAGATCAAAGGAACCCAATAAGAGGGAAGCTTGCTTGCTTTCGTGCCACTCTTTCAAGCTAAAAATGACCAAAGACACTGCAAGGGCTTCGCCATACCCTTCTATAGATATGTATATATCAAATAATATGCTTTCGTTGCATTTAGAACTAAGCTCTTAGTAAAACACCAGGTAAAAATATAATTCAGGTCATCATTTCAGAGCACGTCGTCAATATTGCTTAAGGCGTGCCTTATTCCAGCGTGACCATGGTAAAGTCTCCAATTAGTCGGTTCTAGTCGCAAAAAACTAGATTTAGTCGGTCCGCTGTTTAAAACTTATAAGGGTGTTTTACTGTCCACCCTGGAATAAGCTTATTCCAGCGGCACCATTTCTCAATCTCGAGAATCACAACACCTGGCTTAGATCTGATTACCCTAAAAAAAGTCGTGATTTATTCAGTTTTTGTCGTAAAAAACTGAATTTAGTCGTTACGCCGTTTTGAAATTATTAAGATGTTTTACTGCCCACGCTGAAATAAGCTTATTCCGGCGGCACCATTTTTTAATCTCGAGAAACAGCTCCTAGCTTAGATCTGATTACATCCAGAAAAAGTCGTGAATTAGTCGGTTCTAGTCGCGAAATTTTAGAATTAGTCGCTCCTGTGTTTAGAAGATATTGGATATATTCAATTATTTTCATTGATTGGTGAATTTACGTAGAAAAATCGTACACATAAAAGTATATCTAAGGAAGTCCATCGCTCCAAATGTTCGTTGCGAAATCACTCAATATATATTGAGTGTTCGTGTTCGTGGTGATTAAAATAAATTTGAATTGATAGAGAATAAATATTTTAAATATCTATTTTTTATAATATCAAATGACGGGACGGACAAGTCGTGCGCCTGATGGTAAGCTACATGCCTGTCCATAACAGTTGTAGTGCCACTCAGAGCTTTATGTCGCATAGATCTGAGTGGCACTGTCACTGCGCCCGTCACCTCTCGAGACATAAATCGACAAGTCCCATACGCCTATAATTTCACCAACATCTACTGATTTTTTATAGTCAAAATTAACCCTAACAATTATTTGTAATTGAAAATGACTTGCGCTAAAAGTTATAATAGTCAACGTTTATTCAATTAAGTCATACATTCATTATTTGATTATTCAGATCAGTAGTCGTACGCGACTGTACTCCACGCGCATCCGACGTCTTACACGACATACACACGCTAACAAATATCATGACAATCGATAAATTCTAATGCCATTAAGGAAAAATAACAGTATTTTTTTTTGCTAATTTCCTTGTATTAAAAACTAAACATTATTTAAACCTTCAAATACCTTGTATTTAAAATAAATTACAAATTCTGTACATTATGCAAAATTTAAAGTGTACAGTAAAACACCCTTATAACTTTTGAACGGCGGATCGACTATATCTAGTTTTTTACGACTAGAACAGACTAAACAGCCACTTTTTATGTGGCTGGTCTTTCAAAAACTCAACCATGGTCACGCTGGAATAAGGCCTGTATATATAGGCCTGTCGTCGTCTATATAATTGTAACATTTCGCGACTAGAACTATTAATTCACTACTTTTTTTGGGTGCAATCAGATCTTAATTTGGAGATCAAAAACTTTAGAGAAGGTTATGAGATTCAAAAATGATGCCGCAGGAGTAAACTTATTCACAATTGTAATAAATAATACACCCTTATAACTTTGAGCGGCGGACCGACTAAATCTGTTTTTTGGGACTAGAATCGATTAAATAGCGACTTTTTACCTGACTAGTCAAATTTCAAAAACTCTAACATGATCACGCCGCCGCCGCTGGAATAAGACACGCGCCTATATAAAACAAAAAAATAAACCAGCAAATAATTTAATATCAACAAGTTTTATTGCAAATATGTAGTTAATGGTAGGCATCTCAGCTACTACCTCCGAATTAAGTTCTTTAATTAACAACAGAGGTAGACCCTTCGATTGGTTTTACAAAATGTCTAGTGATACTTTCTAATTTACCAAATGTTAAAGGCATTCACAATGCAGAAATGTCAATTTCAAATTAAAGTCTCAATCAAAATGAATCCAATCCGCAATAATAGTAGGGTTGCATTCACTTTGCGATATATAGTACCGTACAAATATAAATGCTGTTCTCAAAGAAATGTAAAAACTGCATTAATTATTCATATAAGGGGCCCTTTAATTACCTATTTGGTGTTATAGTTCTAATTGTACCCTATGTTTTAAATCGATAGTATTAATTAAAATCTTCCAAATCATTTGTCCGTAAAAAATATCTTTCGCAAATATATTCTATTATACATCTCGCACATTCACACACAAACACATCCAAGACCATGAATGTGAAGCGGCACACAACTACAAAAATTAATGCTACTATGAGATGCTACTACACAAAACAGTGGATCTATCTACACTTCTTTGAGAAGGCATATTGGGTGTCCCAAAATTCACGCAAAAAGTTTTGATTTTGATAGAAAGCACAGGTTTATAACTAAAAATTGAAATTTTTTTATTGATCCGTGAAGTACATGGTATAGGGTTATGTATGGTAAAGCGTGTCGGGTAAATGACCTCCACGGCTTTGCCGGCACATTTCACACACTTCATGAAATTTTAGATGACCGTTTTGCATAATTGTGGCTGAATCTCGTTGATACAGCGCTCAATTTCCTTCTTCAAGGCGGTGGGTGGTCGTGGGTTTGTTGGCATATACCTTCAATTTCAAAATACCCCAAAGAAAAAGTCATGATCTGGGCGGCCACTTCTGATTGCCAAAACGGGAAATTACACGGCCAGAAAATGACTCGTGGAGTAATTGCATTGTTTCTCGTGCTGTATGGCACATGGCACCGTCTTGTTAAAACTTCATGTCATCCACATTTTTCTTTGAGGTTACTTTGAAATCGAAGATTTATGTTAACAAGCCCATGACCTTACACTTGAAGATGAAAATTGAGCGCTATATCAGCACATTCAACTACAGTTATGCAAAATGGTCATCGAAAATTTTATAAAAAGAGTGCGAATGTGCCAGCAAAGTCATGGCGGCCATTTACCCGACATGCTTTACCACACATAACCCTATACCATGTACTTCATGGATCAATAAAGAAATTAGAAATTTTAATTGTAAACCTGTGTTTTCAATCAAAATCACATGCGTAAATTTTGGGACGTCCTTTACAAATAAAAATCATACAAATGTCTATGAAAACTCCAGCACACAATTTGGACAAAAATATTATGTAACATAATAACCTAGGTAATTAGTATAGTACTATTCCACTGATAAGCTAGAAAAACGATTTGTAAACATCTTTACAATAATTTTACTTATCCCATAGCAAAACAAAATAAGGCATTTGCTATTTAGGTTCAAACATGATTTCCAAACACTAACTGCACTTTCACTCAAGACTCGAGTTTACGAATATAATATACTTACAATAGCTCTGTCACATTAAAACTTCAATCAGATTGTTATGAGATCAATTAATTATTCTTAATTTTTGTAATATTTATTTGGTCCAATCATTACATTATACGCTTTCGTGAACTCGAGTCAAAAGGTACAACTTACACAATATATTTGGCTCAACCCTTTCCCAAAGTTCCACAATTTTACACCTAAGCTTTATACTCTTCTATGAACTATTTTACTTTTGATATTTGCTTTATTTAACAAAGTATAAATACAATTGTTATCTTAGATGGCCTCAGTTTCAAACTGATTGCCTTTTGAAATAAGGATAGGTCCATAAGTTTCTGTTTGTTGGAGCTTTAGCACTTGATATTTCTTGAGTACAAGTAAACTGTAGAATTTTTGCGCCACCTGAAGGAAATACACAATCGTTAACAATAATTCATAAAACGTCAGCGAGGACTTAATGGAGGGGTATATAATATCTCGTATTAAATTGAAAACCACCCGATGTTACACCTCATATCATAACGGATGATAGGATTCAAGTACACCGCGAACAGGTTTCAAAAATCTGAAGTAGCGGTAGATTGTTGTAAGATGTTGTAGAAGATAGGTGAAACGGAGTTTAATGATTTGAAACTCTTGTATGTTCCCCGCCTGAGTGCCTATCAGTGGCGAGGCGTCCATATAACTCGATTCCCACCGGTTTACCTAAAATGTCCCGCGTACCTATTACCAGTTGCACCCCACCACTTAAAAAACATGAATTCAAAATATTCACTATTAAACGCGTAATAACTTTTCCCGATGCATCTCAACCAATCAGCGCGAGGTAAGCCGGCGGATCGGCAAATTCTATTTCATTCATGAAATCTACTCGTTTCCATCAAAATATACTAACACATTCGCAAAAATACGCTTTATAACATATAAAGAAAAGAAATGGCGGCCGAGAAGCCGCAATAACTTGAGTACAATTGTCGAATAGCGTACACTTAAATTTAAACCTTATTCCAACAAGTTATAGTTTAATTTGTTTTAATGTTTAGAATCGTTGCCAGATGTAAAACTCTTAAAATAATGTAACGAAATTACTATAATAGCAAATTAATTTAAAATATGGTTAAATAGTGTTACGTATCTATATTTAATTGGGTGTTTGTTTCTAATAGGACTACGTAAGGAGTGTATGTAGAAGATTATGGTAATTCGTAGGTAATTAAAATAGCAACACTTAGCATTCATATGTTTGTTTACATACTCTCGTATCGCGACGGGCAGCTTAAAATATAAAATTAATTTAAAAGCTATGGGTTTCTTATGTGTGGAATAAGTTATCCTGTGAAATGAAGTGAACTAGTATCTTGGGTCTTATAAGTGTTGTGTTTAACGTCGCCAAGTGCCCTTTTTAACGAGAAAAAAAAAATTGTTAGTGTTTTTTGTTTAATTAAAAAGTTAAAGCTTCGGCTTTACCAAGGAAAATGTTCACGCCTCGCCACTGGTGCCTATCCACTACCTGACTCAGTATTTCCACAAGTGGATGTCTACACTATTCCACATCGCAGTAAGATCGCAATTAAATCTCACGAACCATGTTTGCCGCTTCGTAAAAAAATTAACAACGTAATGATAGTTACCTGTTTTCTATTATTGTGTCTAGGCGCGAGGTCGGCGAAGGAGAGTTGCAAGCCTTCAGCAAGTTTAGGCTTCATGACTGCGAACAGCTGCGCCGCTCGCCTGTTCAGCACTCGCTCTTCAAACTGCTCGTCTGTCTCGCCTGCTTCGCGTTCACCTTCTTCCATCTGAGACAAATAGCATATTATGTTTAGTTTGTGGCTATAGACGGCTACAGAATTCTGTAGATGGAATCACAGTACGCGGAGTGGGGAACTAAGTGGCTAAAACCAAATCTTATATATTACAGTAAATAGGTTTTCTTTCTTGTTTCCTCAATAATTTAATTGTTATTATTGTTTCAGTGCTTGATCTCCCAGAAGTTAAAGCTTTTTACTATTTTTGTTGCAGTGGTAATTAGTTTCTGCTATAAATGAATCAGTTGCTATTGTAAAAATGTTGATTCTGCTTACCTGTTCATGGCTAAGCGGAAGGTCATAATCGTGCTGTGGACTGTGCCCACCGTGTTGCTCGTCGTATCCTAAATTCGTCATTTGCATACCACTCTGAAAATAAACAATCTTCTATAAATATTCTGAATTTCGTATAAGTGTCAAAATGTAGCCCTTTCTTAGATTCAAATAAGTTAATTTGTATTTGTTGCAAATATCCAACAAGAAATAAGCGCGCTCGGCATTCGTTTTGTATTACTATTATTATAAGCTCGCGTTTGTTCGCAATCGGAGTTGTATCAATAGGGGAAAGCGTATTCCAGCTAATAATTACACTCCTCACCAATAAACATGCTGAACATGAAAGTATGTTTCGTACTAATTACATCTACTCATCTTAAAAGGTGAAATTCCTCGTTGCGTATTTGAGAGGTAACGGATGTATATATCTACATGTAGTACGTCAGGTAACTTTCCCTGATCTTGTACGATCTTTGTGCGGTGATTATTTAACGTTAGTAGGTTGAAACACCTACCTGGTAGTCAGAGTTGTCCAACAAGCCATGCAACAGCGGCTCGCAGGGTAAGGCGGGGGACACATGCTGCTGCGACGATTGGTGGTGGTGCGAGGCACGTGACAACGGCGACGTGTGCCCTGCCATCTGTGGCATCATCGGCATCTGCTCCATGCTGTGTTGTAGCATGCCGTGTTGTAGACCTAGAAAACCAAATTTGTATTTCTTATATTAACATCATTTTGCTTTACACATTAAAAAAATCTTTAAAATTTTTATAAAAGGTACATTCTCACACATTCGTATGTAATAAGTACCTATTGACCCTTGGGAATAACAAATTTATCTATACTCTTTTGAAAGTGCCTTTACAACGTTTAATGATTATTATCGTCTCTTTCTCTCATGTATTAAAATTTAAATTTACCTGACGGCGTCATGCCACCATGTTGTAATCCCGCAGGCGTCATTCCGCCATGCGTCAGGCCCACCGGCGTCATACCTCCGTGGCCCAGCCCTGCAGGCGTCATGCCTCCATGCTGCAGACCTGCTGGTGTCATACCGCCGTGGTCCAAGCCTCCTGCAAAAGTGTTGTTTCACTCAGTATACTTTTTTCCTAGCAAGTCTATGATTTAGATTTATTTACTGTCTTGTAAACTTTACGAGGGTCATGCCAAAAGAACTTAGATACTCTTTAATCACTTGTTTGATACTGACAAGTTATACACCGTCGTAAAGGCAGGTTTTTGCTAATAAATTTGAAAATGGAAGACGTCTTAAATATAATTCTTTTTTATTCATTTTTTATTTTTCGGAGACAATCTGGCGGGAATTTTGTTCGCAACAATGGAGCTCCCTAGATGTGATTTTCGTGTTATGATTTATATAAATACAAAAAAGGTTTAAATCCGCAAGAATGTTTTGAACTTTTAGCCACAATTTTTGGTGATACTGCTTGTTCACGAGCTACAGTTTTCAATTGGTTTGCTGAATTTAAAAGACGACGGGGAAGCTTTGAAGATGAGGCGAAGTCAGGTCGGCCGCCAACCGCGGTTACTCAAGAAAACGTTAAATTTGTCGAAAAAGCAATTAGTGAAAACCGACAACCTACATATGTAGAGCTTGAGCGAGAACTAGGCATTGAATCAGCAGCATTACAAACTATTATTCACGGATAACTGTCTCCCCATAAGCGTTGTTCGAGATGGGTTCCGCACAAACTTAACGATGAGCAGAAAGAACGTCGCGTGTATTGGTGCAAATTTATGATAGATAAATTCGACACTGGCGAGAAAAAAAAACGTTTATGATATATTGACAGGTGACGAAACATGGTCATATAACTATGATCCTGCAACAAAGCGACAGCCCCCTGTGAGGTGCACACAGAAACAAATGGTCGCCACATTTTTCAGCATGACGGGACACGTAGCTACTGTACTGCTAGAGGATCAAAGGACAGTTGACTCCGAATGGTATATATAACAATTTGTGCCCCAAAAGTGTAGTCAGCTTGGTGTGACAAGCGGCCGAAGTCAAGAATCCGGCACCTCCTCTGGCATCACGACAACGCCGCTAAGCACACTTCTGCTAGAACGCTCGACTACTTTCATTCAAAAAATGTATCTATCCTGCCGCACCCGCCATATTCCTCTGACCTAGCACCTTGTGATTTTTACCTCTTTCCAAAAATTTAAGAAAAATTAAAAGGCAAGTGGTTTGAAAGCAAAGAAAATGCCTTGGCTGCTTATAACTTGGAGATTTCTGAGATGTCTAAAGAAGAGTGGTTTAGACGAATGGAAAAGTGTATACGTGTTCATGGTCAATACTTTGAAAAAATCGATAAAGAATAAATTTTATAATTTTTGAAAATCTAATTTCTTTTGGCATGACTCTCGTACATTATTATATACAATATATTGTATTATAAGAATCGTTACAAATACTAATAAAAGTTACATTTAAAAAATTACAAATATCCAGTACAAGTTTTATACTACGTAATTTTAACATATGGCTTTGGTTTTGGAACGTATTGCGTGGTCACGCTAAAGCGGGCTTCTCTAGCGTACAGGCTTAACATTCATGTCGGGTATTTTGACTGTATGCTTAACCTTACCTATACATTTTCTATCTTGGGTTGCATGAATGCAGCCATCCCTTTATAGATACGTCTGACGTCACTGCATACTGACCAGGGGTCATTCCTCCGTGGTGTAATCCCGCTGGTGTTAATCCTCCATGTACAAGTCCCGCAGGCGTCATTCCGCTGTCCAACCCGAGACCGGGCGTCATGCCGCCGTGATGAAGACCCGCCGGCGTCATTCCGCTAGCTGCCAAACCAAGATCTTGAGGTTCCCCATGTTGTAAACCAGCTGGAGTCATACCACCATGTTGCAGACCCACTGAAAGAATAGCCATCAAAACATTTATTTATTTTTAATAAGAGTTGACTTGGTTATGATACGAATAAACATAGAGTGGGTATTATCCAGGTATTATATATCTAAAGCTACAAGTTTAGACTCACTTAGAAAAATAGAACGCATACTTCCCGATATGGTACAAAAAAGATATTTATACCGTTGTACGCGGATAGGCTCCAAGGCAAAGAATCAAATATGATAAGACCTGAATGTGGAAACTGTAAACTAGTGATCAATGGCCTGCAAAAACTATAATACATTTTGTGCATTTTTATGAGATGCACCCTGGTAAAATTCCGCGGAAAGTAAAAAATGTTCGAAATTCAAATAAACAAGATGGTCGCCATATAAATTTGAAAGCCTCCGATCACGGAAACTATTAGAGATAGGTAGGAGGTACTTGAAGGAATGTCATAGAGGGTAACACTAGTCAACTGCCTGGGTTAAAAAAAATTCAAAATGGCGCCCGAAGAAAAACTTGCTTCGATCCGGCTGAAAATTGGCATGCAAAGGTCTTTAGGAGTCCAATCATAATTTGATTGGGTCAAAAATTTCTTTTCGACATTTTTTAATATGGCTGCCATATAAGTGTTTTTTTCGTTAAAAATAGCTGCCGAAAGATTTGCTCTGATTCGACTGAAAATTGGCATGTGAAGGCCACTAGAAATGCCGTTTCGAATTTGTTTTTCGCCATTTTCAAATATGGCCGTCATAGAAGCGTTCGTTGGCGGCAGAAAAAAAATTGCTGATCCCTTTGAAAATTGGCATATGGGGGGAGTGCTTGATAATAATTTGTGATCAAAATTGGTTTGTCGCCACTTTTCAATATGACTGCCATAGAAATGTTTTTTGCAGCAGATGAAAATTTGCTCTAATTCGATAGAAAATCAGCATGTGGGGAAGTCTATGGGTGTTTAATAATAATTTGCGGTCAAAATTTATTTTTCGCCATTTTTCAATATGTCTGCCATACAAACTTTTTGGCGGCACATGGAAATTTGCTCTATTTCAGCTGAAAATCGGCATGTGGGGACCTCTATCAATATGGCCGCCATTAAAGAGCTATGTTAATTTTTTTAAAGTCAAGTGCCGAAGCCGTAGGCCGAGGTGTAGCGGAGGGCGAAGCCCGACGCGTCCGTACACCACCTTACGTAGGTAGTATACGGGGACTAGATTTCACAATTGTTCAAAATGTAAGGCATACTTCCTGATGAAGTGGAAATAATAACTTTACAACTTAATAGCATTGTTGTATCTTGACCGTCTCTCTGTTATATTCTTTTTTATTGGAAGCTATGCCAAAAAGAGAAGTATTTAGGGAAAAATTGCCAGACAATCACTTCAAATTTCTGTTCCCAAACTAGGGAATTTCCTGTACTATGAGTACCAGAGTGACGATAATTCTGAAGGCAATACCCAGACCAGAACCAACTTAAAAATATTTTTTTCATAAATTGGCTCAAATAAGAATATGGAACCTCCTCATCAAGCGCCCATAGTACTAATCACTGTGCTACCGAAGAGCATAAGCACACCCAGTAATCTGAAAACAACCACGCGCCGCAGGCCGAGCCCGGCCCCACCGTAGGTGGGGTATAGGGCTCGTCTTTTATAAAGATACAAAATACTGGTCACTCTGCAGTATAAAATGCTCACTACAAATCATTATCGTATCAGGCTAGTGAATAATTGAATTCTTCTGTGGTGAAAAAACAAAATCTGCAGGACTGATTGTGTGATACAACAAAATTATAAAATAAAAAAAGTTATATACACAAAAAAGCCGTGGTAGCCTAATATGGTTTGACCTGCTGCCTCTCCAGCAGAGGATCGTGGGTTCGAATCCGGTATTGCACAGCTAGTTTCGCAATTAATGTTCGAAATTTAACCATGCGCTTTTCAGTGAAGGAAATATCGGAAGGAAACCTGCATACATCTACAAAGCAATTTCATTGTGTGTGAAATTCCCAATTCCATTTGGGTCCGAGTAAAAACTACAGTCCAAACCGTCTCATTATGAGAGGAGACCTGTGCCCAGCAGTGGGACTATATTATATGTATAGGCCAACTATTATAATTTATTACACAAACATTAACTTATTATGCATAAACACTATATTATAATCTAAGCGAATTATTAGTTTATTTAATTTTGTTACCGATTAACCGACTTCAAAAAAGGAGGTTCTCAATTTTTTTTGTACGGATGTTACGCAATGACGCGCCGTTTATAAACCGATTTTGATAATTCTTTTATTGTTGGAAAAAGAATACCTCAGTATTGGTTTCGTTTAAGTTTGAAGAAAATATTCCACCTCTAAGGGTGGCAAACTAGGGAATGAATCCGGTTTCGCACACTTTCCAGTAACCGATCTCAATAAAACTTGGCAAATAAATTTAATTCCACGAACTTTGAGGTCGTTTTTTAGTACTCTATACCGAGATTAATAACGGTTGATTTGGATAGGTACTGCACTTATTTCAATTATTTAACTTTGTAAATATAAATACTAAATAATGTTGGCAAGATAGTTGAAAATCTTACCTGGCGTCATGGAACCATGTTGTAAACCTCCAGGTGTAAGTCCACCCTGTAGTAGAGTGCCAGGTGTGAGTGGTCCTAGCACACCTGGCGTAAGAGGTGGTCCCAGAGAACTGAGCATGCCTCCTGAAAATCATATTCGTAATCAAACACTAAGTCCATAGTCACATGAGCTACATTCCTATTACATCGCAAATGGAAAATATGCAATTTGAATGAATTTGCTGCAATCTGCATTCTAACCATTCTTTTCATTGCATTCTGTATTTGTATTGCTGTTTTAAAAAGCATAAGGTGCGAAAATTGGCGCTATATAATAATGATGACACCTAAAGAAAAAAATAAATAAACGAGTCACCCTATATGCGATCAAAATTTGTACATGTCGCAAAAACCTAATAAGCAAGAATTTAACACACAGCAACGTGATCCGAAAACCGTCAAGTGCTTTTCCAGTGAAGTAAGGCCAACTTTAAGATAAGGACGGTAATAAACAATTCGTGCAATGAAAAGGTGAAAAAGTTAGTAATGGAAGTGTAAACCCTTTACCTGGCGTCTGAGGTGCTTCGTCGTCGGCTCGAGGCGTCATTGGGTAGCCAGGAGTAGCAGCTCTCTCCGGTTCTGATGCGGTGATGGGTGCAATGGATGCGGTTAGATGCAAGTATATATGTACAGGATTGGAGCGATGGTTACCACATTTTCTATTACCAATTTTAAGGCTTTTTAAGAAAACATTTACATTCGGAACTGCCCATAATAAGGAACCAATGGTTTTATTAAAGTGATTATACTACAGTATAGGAGGCTAAATATCGTATAATTTACTACTCTGGATTTTAATGAAAACGAATTATAACCCAGAATTTTGATGGAAATGTGTTTAAAATTAGAATTAATAAAATGGAATTAATTCATATTATCCGAAATGTTAGATTTATGTAATTTTTTTCAGCAGTCTAGTTTATTTCAATGTGGATAATTAGGAAATATGAAAATAAAAAATCCATAACCAAAAGCTTGAGTGGAGTGAAAATTTAAGTTTATTTGATATTATTAGTAAGCAATTATCGTCATTCTCATCAGACTGGCGATGTATGAAAATGAGCATTGTACTTACCGACTGAAGGCTCGTATTCTTGTGGCACTGGTGTGGGAGGCTCCAAATCTAGTGGGTGTGGAGCAGGGGTTTCCGGTGGGTGTATAACCTGTGATAAACAAAATAAATTCCTATTCAGAATGCTAGTTTCTGACTCTCGGTACGGGTTAGGTTAGTTAAGCGTTTGTTTTCATTTTTAATAACGTGGATTACTTCAATTTTGAGTTTAACGATCTCCACACCCTGAGCCGCGGTTATCATTAAAATCGACGGCCAAGTTAATGGGCGTGATCGTCCTAGTATGAAAAGTGCAAACTGCCATGCTGGAAGAGTGTGGCTAGTCATTCTACAGACACTTATGTCAATAAATGGATAAATCATACTTCTTCATGTCGCCGTTTGCGTCCGCCGCGGCGCATGGGTTCCGGAGCGTCAGCCTTCTTGCCCTCATCGTCGCCTTCTTCAGCCTCATTTCGGAGTGTCATGTTACGTTGGTACTTCTGTATAAGAAACAATGCTTGTACTTGGATACAGTTACATAAGTATTATAGACTACCACGTTCGATCGTGTGAAGCTATATTACTGACCAAAACTTCAAAACCGAAACGCAATAATGCTCACATTACAACAGTTGCACTCTCAAAACTTGAAATCAAAAAGATCTGAGGTGCTATACGACTGCGCTTGTCACCCTCAGACATAAATTGACAAGTCCCATGTTCTTGTAATTTCACAAGCACCCTTACCCTTCAAAACCAGAACGAAGTAATGTAAGCATTATTGATTGGCGGCAGAAATAGGCAAGGTGGCAGTGCTTCCCTATACGAACTCTTACAAGGAGCTCTACTGCTACTAAAAGTGAGTGATAATGAACATGCGCGAGAAAGGGACTCGGCAACCACTATAGGATGCGATGACCTTAACTTAAGTAAAAAGTTCTGGATTTGGTTCTTGTCGTTGTACATTCCTTGAGTAGTAGAGACTTGAAACGTATAAAATATTTTGGACATTAATAACACTCTTGAATTATTGTCGTAACTTCGACAGCTTACCTTAGACAGTACTCTGCTGGGTATAGGGCGAGCGGGTAAAGCGAAAAGTTTTTCTACACCCCCCGTCTCTTTCCAGTGCATTAGGCGACGAGTTGGCGGTGCTAAATCTAATGTAGTGACAATGTCAGAAGTATTGCTAAGCTGGTTCTTCATTTCTTCACCAGATATATTCTTCACTTCGTCTACAATTAGTTTGCGTTTGCGTTTCGTCTTTGTTATGCCTGAGTTAAAGAAAAAGTTATATTAGATGTTGTCATCTTTTGTTGTGTTGCTTCTTTATAATGACTGAACAGCAACGACTATTAAAGATTACATCTAGATCTACTTAAAAAAACGTTAATTTAACTTTTTTCAATAGAATAACAGTTATTTTTGATACAAGTACGAAATATATGTAGGACGGCAACACTAGGAGTGCGAGCGAGAAAGCATGTGTGAGA